CTTTTGGGTTCCATGAAGCCTTAGTTCATTGCTTGTGGTAAGATGGAGTTTCTCTCTATAGTGGATTAGAAACCCTTGGTTGGTAATTGCTATATATCCCTTGTGAGCTTCATTTGTTCTAGCCTTCATCACCTTGTTGAGCAGCAATTAAGGATCCTTAGCTATGCATGTATTAATCCTTGTTTTCACCTCTAGCTCCTAAGATTGTGACCGAGCCACTCTAGGGGAGGAAAAGGGAACCTTTTTATCATTTTTCTTTCTACTCCTTTTGTTTTGTTACATATGTTGTTTTTATTTTGCATTTGCTCCGCTTTCTGACCCTTTGAGCCTATTCCATTTCTTGATTATGAGCCACATTACAAGCTTTATGACCTTTTGTTTCCACAACCCTTAGTTTTGTGAAGCATTTTAGTTTGAGAGTTTGTTTTGTGTTGTGATTGTTTGAATGAAATTGAGAAAGCAATATGCTCTTTTGGACCAAGCAAGAAAGTAATTTGTATATTTTGCGTGTAATAAAACAAACGCATTCAGGAAAAAGCAGTCCATAGTTGAAAACATGGTAAGGACACCAATTTTCAATTAATAAAAAGAATAGAAAAAAATAGAAAAAAATGCAAAAACTACAAAAATTAGAAAAGATAAAAAAAAAAACACCAAAAATGTTTTAGTTAGCTTTGTTTTCTTCCCTATTTCAAGCATTGTAGACAATTCTTTGCTTATGCTTGGAAAGTGCGTTCCTTCATTTTAGAATATTGTGTGTTGGTGTTGAATAAGCTTGTGGGAGATGGCATTGTTGGTGTAGGCGTCGTTAGAAGCGCGCCTACGTTAAAGCATGTTGTGAATATGCTTGGCACTCATAGGAACTGGGAATTGACATTTTACAATTAGGGACAAGGAAAGTAGGGAGCCGCCAACAAGTTTTTAAGGAACTTGTAAGCCGTTCACGGATCATAAAAGGCAACCACAATTGACCCGTGAAGGTTACACCCCATTCATAATCTATGAGATTACTCATTCCATATGGTTCGGAACCACAAAAGGAGGATCGGGGATGATGGTACGAAGTGAGTCATGGAGTCACATTCGCTCGTATTGGCCTCTACTCGATTCTTATAGTGAAAAGTGATTCCTGCTATCTCAAAGGCATACAAACAAAGATTCAATTTTCTCCAAACTATTATTAAGCTAAATTGGTTGAATATTAATGCAACATATTAATTCTAAAATATTGGTGATCACTTCAATTAACAACAAGATTAAAAAGGAACCTAAACCAGACGTCCAAATTATCTTATTAGGCGTGATTTTCAACTACATACTCCCTTTAAACATGCAATATGGTGATAAAAAATAATAATAGAATAAAATTAATATTAGAAGCAATTCAAAAATAATATCATTAGTCAAATCAAATCATAAAAAACCTAATCATGGTACTAGCAACCAGAATAAAAATAACAGTAATTAAGTGATTAATACTCACTTTCCGATTAAAACTGTAATCATGAATAAACTGTTAGTAATTTCAATAAAAAATATAAATCAGATTAAAAAAATTCAATTAAATAAAAATTAGAGTTGATTTGGTTCAAAATCTCAGTCAATTATAGCTTTCACGCCTTGGTTTAAGGATGGAACCTCGGGTTAAGTATGGACTCCTTAGAGTGCTTAAGGAAGAAATGATGATAGAATGGGGAGGCTAGTGTTTAAGCTAAAGAAGGAGAAGAAAATGAAGAGATTTATTTGATGATCAAGCTTGTTGATGATTGAAAAAGAGGTGATATGACCTCTATTGATAAGGAAAAAAGAAGGGTCGAAGAATTAAGAAAAGATAAGAATTCGAATTGGAATGATACTCTTGCGATAAACAACAGTTTTTGCGGTTTTTTTTTTTATGATCTCTTTTGATCCAGGAATTGGAATAAGATAAATAATATGTCGTTGAAAATCTGGTGAAGTCTACTTTCTAATCCAATTAGAATCAGATAAAAATAATTTGTAGAATTAAAGATACGGCCGAAATAGTGGGATGGTGTCAATTTTTGATAGAGTTTCGTATTTCTTTTATATCTTTTTCGTTATAGCTCGGAATTAATATTATAATATATCATTGGAAAGATAATTTCAAGGGATATCCAAAAACATATGATTTGGATAAAACTATGAGGCACGAAAATTATATTTTACTATCTTTGAACGTCTTTCAATTCGGATAGAATTAGGACTTTCAAAAAGAAAAGTTTTATTTAATTTCAAACTCTTTAATCGTATCTTTTCAAAAGGGATAATTAAGATCTTTTAGAAACTTATAGAAACTTTCAATTAATACTAATTGGTTTAGCGATGGGATTAAATCTTTTGGACCCTCTACATGATCATTGAGTCGTAGGTAAGGTGGGCTTAGGTTCGGTTTGGGCTCAGTTTAGTATTTAGGCCATTACTTATTCGTTATAACTCATATTTGAGCTTATAATATATCGTTGGAAAAATATTTTCAAGCCCCATCAAACTATTCAATCATTAGACCCAGATTATGGACAAAAATACAATGGACTAAACGTAATTATAAAAAGGACACGAAATGAATGATTTTAAATGACACGAAATGAATTATTTTGGGTTTAAAGGCACGAAAAGAGGAAAATAAGTTATGGTTTGGGGAAATGGGCTAGGAATTGGATTGGTTTATGAAATGTATTGGGATTGAATGTGGATTTAAGCACTCCAAAGATTAAATACTCAACCCGACCAATAATGGTGGTGAAACTTTGTTCATCATCGAGTTTGGTTTTGTGGAGACATTTTTAGGTGTCTACACAAGGGAAGATGTAAGTAGTACTAGAGAGGTTAAAAAGCATAATGTAGGGACAATTAAAACTATTCCCAATAAAAATACTTATATTTCACCAAGGAATCACAAAGCGTATGTTAGGAACCCCATGATAGAAAAAAGACATCCATTCTTATCAGAAAAAAAAAAACCAACTAGAATACAAGTTAAAATAATACAAAAAAATCAACATACATAACTAATAAATTCTAAATTTACAGATATATTCAATTAGCTCTATCTATTCAATTTGAAATTCAAAAACCCATCACATATCCTATTCTAATTGGTATCTTGAAAAACATCTCCATTATTGTATTGAAAACCTCCATCTACTCCGAAATTGTATAAACTTAGTAATCCCTGCAAAACAATAAATTAATTAGATCTAGATGTTTCACTAAACCAAACATATTCAATATTCTTGAGAGAAAATCAATTACAGAAGCAACAATAAGGTTTAAAGATATTTCGTATAACTTTGCCAACATTTAAAACATGATTTTGTTGAATTCAACAGATGATGAGGAAAGTGATACAAGAGAAAATAGATCAATAGAGGAAGAATGATCGAATGAATAAGAGTTTGTTGAATTGACAATAGGGTGAACCATGTACGACATAAATACATGAAAAAATAAAACCACCAGAGTAAATAGAGGAGTATAATACTACTCGTGGTAATTTTCAAAGAAAGAGGAGACAAATACCTAGATCAACGTAATATTCTTTGTATTCTACACATATAAAATTTGCAATCAATTTGCCTAAAAAAAATTTAAAATAAAATTGCAATCAGTTTTTAACTTATTTAGTTGGCTTATTATAAGAGAGAACGGTTAGGTAATCAAACCGTTCTTTATTCTATCATTTATAGAATGGCATAATTTGGGTTATATTAAAATAGAACGGTGAAAGAGTATACCATTCTCTATTCTATAATTTTAAGAACGGTTATATGAGAAAGGCGTTCTATATAGTCATATAGAACGCTTGTCCAAGTTTACAGTTCTATACCATGTGTTTCTAATTCTAGATTTTGTAGTAGTGACAATATAAGAGGAAAGAAAATAGATGAAGAATGATATAGAAAGGAGAGGGGTGCGCTTAAGAGTGAACGCAGTAGCACAAGTGCGCCCACACTCATAGCGAGGGTGCGCGCCCGCGCAAGAGAGGGTTGTGCATGCTTCGCACTTTTTCTTGCGCTCGAAGGTGGACTGAATGAACAATGCTCATAATAAACATGGCATTCCCTAGATCCCTTGATAACGGGTTCAACATCCAATATTCATGAACCCACCAAAACTCAATTCTAACTCATGTCTCCAAATAAACATATAAACACCCCATCCTCAAAATTGGTACCAAGATTGTTAGCAATCGAACTACCATCATATCAAAACTACCTTAAATCACAACAAAAGAAATAAATTGATTAGTGCATAAGCATCAAAGGAAAATGAAAAGAAGGTTAGAAAGCCGAGTTGCCTCCAGAAAAGCGATTGTTTAACGTCATTAGCTTGACGTTCTCCACCACTTTCAAGGTGGATCATAGAGAGTCATCTTGTGAATGAGGACAACAAAAACACCATCGTAATAGCGCTTCACTACTAGAAAATAGGCAAATATCGATGGAATGGTTCCGACGAACACATTATTCCGTCGCTAAATTTGAAATTTCCGACCGATTTTTATTCCGTTGGAAATTTTCGACGGAATATAAATCCGTCAAAAATTTCGACTTTTGCGATGGATTTTTCCGTTGTATAGTACAATTTCCGACGGAATTTAAATCCGTTGGAAATTTTCTACGAAAATTTTGCCGGAATATAATTTTAAAAAAAACCCTCTTTAAAGAAACCCTAAACTACTATGGTTCCCATTCTCTTTCCTCCTCCTTTTCTCTCCTTCTCTTTGATGTGCCTCTTTTCTTTTTCCTCTCTCCTCTTCTTCTCTCTCCTTCTTGTTCTCCCTGTTGGCCTCCTACTCTTTTTCCTCTCTCCTCTTCTTCTCCCTCCTTCCTCTTCTCCCTGCCGGCCTCCCCTCTTTTCTTTCTCTCTTTTGGTCTTGGTAGGTAATGTTCACGACGCCGACAAGTTTGGTTGGTGGTGTTCAAGACGCCGGTTAGTGTGTGTAGTGGTGTTCAAGTTGATTTCTTGCAACTGTCTTCTCAAGAATTTGAAGGATCTTGGGGAATTCGATTTATTGAGCTACGACCATTGACTTTGAAAGATCTTGGGGAATTCGAAGGAGTAATTTCAACAACACCATTAGAGTTATCTTCCTGAACTGTGAAAGGACCGCTCAAACATGACATCAGCTTTTTGGGAAATAACCTCATTCTCGAATTATAGAGAAGAACTTTGTCACCGACATTAAACTCCATCTTCTCAATGAGCTTGTCATACTTTTCCTAAGAACATGGTTTATATATACTAGCATAATCATAGCATCCAATAAAAGTTCTACCAACCCATGGAGATCAAGCCAACGTTGTTCTAATGCACTAGCCAAATCGAAATCGATCCTCTTAATATCCCAATGAGTGCGGTGCTCAATCTCAATCAAGAGATGACAAGACTTCCTATAAACCAAGCGGTAAGGAGTAGTGCAAATAAAAGTTTTGAAGGCCATTCTATACGCCCACAAGGCATCATCAAGTTTATCCAACCAATCCTTCCTATTTCTTGCAATTGTCTTCTCAAGAATTACCTTGATTTGACACCTCAACTTGTCCACTGGTTTGAGGATGACATGAGAGGCCAAAACGTTGATTATCTCCATGCATTTTCAACATCCTTTGAAAGGCATTGTGCATGAAATGGGAACCATTATTAATTATCACCGCCTTTAGGACACCAAATCTAGGGAAAATAATCTTCTTGAACATATTCATTACCACCTTGTGATCATTTGTTGGGGAGGCAATAGCTTCAACCCATTTTCACATGTAGTCAACCGCAACAAGGATATATTGGTTCCCATAAGATGAAGGAAAGGGACCCATGAAGTGAATTCCCTATACATCAAAGAATTCTTGTTCAAGAATGGGATGTTAAGGCATCTCATTCCTCTTTGAGTTGTTCTCGGTTCTTTGACATTGATCATATGTATTGATAAATTGCCATATATCCTTGAAGTGTTGTGGCAAACATAAACCATAATCTTGGAGGCGGTTCTAAGAACACCCATATGACCACCACTAGGATTCAAGTGGCACATCTTCAACACACTTAGAACCTTTCATTTGGCACACAACAACGATGTAATCCATCAATGCCTTGTTTATACAATATGGGATCATCCCACAAGTAATGTCTAGCCTCTCTCTTGAGCTTGTTCTTTTGATTCTTAATGAATGAAGGTTGAAACTCCACACATGCAAGATAGTTGACTAAATAAGAAAACCATGGGAGTTCTTTCACATTAATAGCATACAATGAATCATTTAGCATTCTATCCTTAGTGGGAGACCCACCATCTGCTCCTTTTTTATATCTAATTTCAAGATCAAAATTTTAAAGTTCAAGCACCCAACGGATCAACCTAGGTTGCAAACACCTGACTGCGTCTCCGCAAAAACAAAACCCAGTGATGTGTAATTTACACATCATTGATATTGATTAAGGTGAAATGTTAAAGAGTCTCATGAATTCTTCTGTTTTCTAAAATGTTTTAATAAAAGTAATTCATTTTGTGTCCTATTTATGAAAAAAGTCCAATATAGTTTATTATTGTCCATGTTCAAGGTCCAATAGTTGTTTTGTTGGATGGATCTTTAAAAGATCTTTCCAAAAATATATTATATGCAAAATTCCAAGTTATAACAAGAAGTTATAGTCAAAATACTAAACTAGGTCTAAACGAGTTTGATGTGCGACCCAATGATCATGTGGAGGGTCCATTAATCTTAATTATATTCCTAAACCAATGAGGATTAATTGGAAGATTCTATGAGGTTCTAAAATATCAAAAATATCATTTTTGAAAACCTAAGATCAAAGAATTTGAAATTTATAAAACTCTTCTTTTTGAAAGTCCTAATTCTATTAGAAATGAAAGACGTTCAAAGATGACCAGTTATTATTTTCGTGCCTCATAATTTTTATCCAAATATTTGATGGTTGGATATCCCTTGAAATTATATTTCCAATGATTATAATATTAATTCTGAGCTATAACGAAAAAGATATGAAAGAAATACGAAACTCTATCCAAAACTGACACCCTTCCACTATTTCGGTCATATCTTTTATTCTACAGTAAATTTTAATCTAAATCCAATTGGGTTGGAAATTAGACTTCAAGATATTTCATAAGACATATTATATGACTTACTTTGACTTTTGGATCAAAGGATATGATAAAACAAACTCGGCAAAAAAATTGTTTTCATTTCGCCGCGATAACTATATCGCGCTGGCATGGTCCTATCGGGCCGCGATACTTTTAATATTCCTGCGTGAAAAGGAATTTTATTTTGATCAAATTTTAAATCTTTTTTAATCGTTTTTGGTCGTTTTTCTCTATAAATAGGGTCGTATTTCCCAATTTTCAATCATTAACAATCATCTATTGTATTCTTTCTCTCTCAAAGTTAGAAGCTTATTCTTTCTCCCTCTTTCTAAGCCTTGCCTTTACAAAAAAAAAACCATTCCTCCATCACAAGATTAAGACACACTTAGCCAAGATCAAAGTTGCCTTCCTCCTAGCCGTGAAAGGTTGATAAATTCTGAGGGTTTGCTCCCAAATCCCTATTTTAATATTGTTTTAATTGTTTGTTTAATATTTTCCTTGAAGTGACTAACTTTTGTATTGTTTTGATAGAACGAGGTACGAGGCTTCAAAGTGTGTAATTTTATTTCTCTATTTCTGTAAAAACAAAAATCATGCTTAGATTTTATTAATTCCTAGTATCATATTAGGATGTTATTCACTGGTTTCTAGTATCATGCTTAGGTTGCTTCCTATTTTCTTCTATCATACTAGTATCATGTTAGGGTTAAAACTTTGATATTATTATTAATCTTGTTAATATAATGCGTAGGATCTTGCTAATATTATTCTTTTATGAGAATATTATTATTATGATGATGATTTGTTGTATCAATATTATTATGTTGCTTGATAAATTATTTTTATTGCTTGATCATGGCCTCTCTTGCATGATTAAAAGGAATTTGTACTTGAAATCACGCTTAATAAGATAATTAATAATTTTATTTAGGCTAATATGATTTTAATTCAAGTGATCGCCAATAATAGGTTTGTTTGTGCATTAATAATCAATAACATAGATTAAAAAGGTGTGGAAATAATATATTGATTGTATGTTAGTCAGAAAGTGCACATGAATATAAGAAGAATAAAATAGAGGCTTATTTAGGGTAGGTTCAATCTCTTTTATGTTGGATTTGTACCTTCATTTCCCGAATATCAAATCATGGTTTAGGACCACTATGCAGTTAGCGCACTCATGGATCGTGAAGGTGTGTAACCTTCACCCTGTGAACGGTTTACAAGTTCCTAAAACATGTTGGTGACTCTTTTTCTCTAGCTTGCTTCTATTTGGACGCCACTATCCTTAAGTGTATTATCATAGTGGAGCTCAAGTGTGGGATTCTTAAAATATTCCCTAAAGTTTGGCGAGTTTATTAGGGAGGATTTCTATTTTAATTCCTAAAATTAATTTTGGCAATAATTCAGAATGCGTGGATGAGACTTGAAACGTTCTATGTATTTGTGTGCATAATTTTTATTAACATAATTGGCCTAAGCATAAAAAGGTCCGCATTGGAAAGACAATCCGTAATGTGTCAAAATATAGGCTTTTTACACATAAGAAATTTGGGAAATATTTTTCACAACTAAAATTGAAAAACGCTGCAAAAATCTAAAAATTCAAAGAACACTAAAAATTTTTGAGGCATCTAGGAACCGTCGCTGAGAGAACAGATCCCATTGCAGTGCGATGGCTTTGTCGCAATGCGATAGCAATATCGCGGCATGACAAGGCAATCTTTTCGCTATGGTCCCTGTTTTCTCGCGCCATGTTCTTCCAATACCGAGTCAGACGTTTACCTTCTTGCTTTTACCGGTTCTAGTTCTATTTGGGCGATTTTTCTTCCTGATTGAGTTTTTTTTTTCCATTTTTGTGAAACCTATATGTGTTCTACATATGGCCATAACCCTCTGGGAATTCACGCTCCATCTACCCAATCGAATGCTCATTGCAACAAAGGGTACATTCGAGTTTGTGAATTCACCAAACCATGGAAGCAAGTTTAACTTGCGGGGTCCCATCCATACGTGCCAACCCTTCCAAAGGTTAGTCTTTTTCGAGATGCATTCAGACACATAACCACGGACTCTATTTTTACTAACATAATCGTTGATCTTTAGAGAACTAGAATCATGGTTAGGTTGCAAACTCATTGCATCATATTGTGACTTTTTAACTACTTTTGCATTATTTGCTTGTTCATATTTATATATGATTAAACTAACAGTTTTGTTTGACTTGTGATTATAAATATGCTTAAATAAACTAACCAATGACTAAAGGAATGTGCTTAATTAATTTGAGCTAATAAATATATATGTCTTAAATTGATTCATAGTTCCTTTGCGGCAACCCGAATTTTTATTCTCGTATATTGCATAAGCATTAACTTGTTTTGGTCGTAACCGGAAGAATTACGAGTCCTAAAACCTATGGAGCTGTAGCCCCTAGTTTTATATTTAATTTGACGTTGGTTTTGTCCAATGTGGAGTCACGGATAAAAAGTTATGACTAAAATACTACAACATGTCCAGTTTAGTGTATATGCATGAGGTCTTAATTTAGTCTTTGTTCGAGTCGAGTCACTTTGTCATGACACGAATCTTGAACATATGAATTTCACTCACAAGTGTTAACACATACTTTGGATATACGTTTTTCACACCAGGCCATGACCATGTCTTAGGTTCATGCATGAGTCGTCCTTTCCGTCATTCGAGTTGGGTGTCCATCTTATTCCGGAAAGTTCTATAGCTTTCCACGTTCTTTAACATCATTTTTTCATATATTACATATCTCACAATTCCCTTCTTAAACACTCTCCACATTCACATTCCTTCATCTTACATGCTTTCTCCATATATATCATTCACCTCATACACTATGATCTCTTCCCATTCATGCATGTTGAATCAAGTTCGAGTCATGTGATTGACAAGAAAAAAAATGAGTAATGATGAGACAAAGCACAATGTAAGCTTCTCACCAAGATTTTATGCTTTATTCTTTTTTTTTTTTTTAAACTCTTCCCTAATAAGTCTAGCATATGCACCCTCCATCATTTTTTAATATTTATTTCATGAGTTTGATTTTTTCACCCATTTCATTTTAAAAATGTGAGCATTTCTTCCTTGCATTGAATCTCAAAATTATAAAAAAAAAAACGGCGTCGAACTAAGCATAAGGTATACTAATGATTCGAAGCTCCTTGTTGTCATATATATCATCTTCACCCTTCAAATATATAACCCTTTCTTGACGGGTCACTTTGATCTTTTTCTAACGACTGACCATTCTTTATACAACCCACATCTACCTAATCTTGGGATGGGATGGTGTGCTACTTATGCAATTTCCAAATACAAAAGCTTAAGTGATTATACCAAGAATTTAAAAAAGAAAATAGCAAAAAAAATAAAAGTGTGCAAAAGGGCAAGTGTTCCAATATATTTGATCACGACACGTCTCAGATTGCATCTCTTATCGAGTGCTCGGTACCGTG